TGTAGTTCATATATTTCTGATATGAGCCACTTGTTGGATAATATGTATGGGAAACATTTTCTCCTAGTTGGTAGTTTACCTTTTACTCTACTATTGGTGTATTTTGATGAATTGAAGTTCTTAATTTTAATATCACACAGTTTATCATATTTTTACCTGTGCTTAGTGTTTTTTTCTTGCCAGTTTAAGCAATATCTGCATACTCTTAGTTCACGAAGATATATTTCCTTCCAAAAGATTTCTTGAATTGTTTTTTTGAGTATCAATTCAAATTTAAGTTGAGTCAAGATTCATTTTCTCCCATGCGTATATCCGATAGACAGCATAATTAAATAGAGAGAACATCCTTTCATAAATTTACTACAGCGTCTTTTTTCCATAAATCAAATGATCACATATGTGTGGGTCTGTTTCTGGACTCTAAATTCCATTCCGCTCGTCTATTTGTCTATCTTTGCAACAATATACTTTCTTTATTACTATTGCTTGATAATAAGTCTTGTAATCTGGTAGTATATGTCCTCCAGCTTTGTTCTTCCTCAAGATTATCTTGTCTATTCTTTATTCTTATTACATTTCCATACAATTTGTAAATCAAGTTGTTATTCTCTCAGAAAACCCCAGCTACCTATTTGAGTAAGATTATATTGAAACTATAAAACAATTTAGAGTGAATGTACCTCTTTACAATATTGAATTTTCTAATTGATATTGAATTGATATGTACTTCCAAACAAAATCTTTGATTAATATTTTGTAATTATTCAGGGTAGAAATTATACATACCTTTTGTTAGAATTGCTTTTCATTATACATTTGCTATTTTTGATATTCTGGGAAATAATATCTTTTAAATAAGTTTTGTTTTCTATTTATTTATTGTACACATTTAGAATATAATTTCTTGTTTTTGCGTATTGACCTTGTATTCAGTAGATTCTCATTTCAAAAGTAGCACATATAGTATGATTCTGTTTTTATTATATCTTTTGTATCACTCACTTAATCTATATACTTAGTTGTTAAGAATGATAAAGAGGAAGTGGAAAAGTTCAGAAAATATTTTCATCTAAAATTAATGACAGTAAGCCTTGGTTGTAATGTTTTGTTTAATTTTATTTTTTAATATAAATTAAAATTCTTAAAAAGCATATATTACTATTTCAAAGCAAAATAATATAAAACACAAATTTATAATTTAAATTAAAGAAAATTAATCACAATGTAAGTTGTCTTGTTGTTTCAAACAAGAATGAACCTTTTTGGCTGCCTACACACAACCATACTCCAAGTCATTTCTAATTTTTTGGAAAATATATGGTTAATTGTTTATTCAAGTCTGTCTCTTTGAGTCGATTAACTTTCTTTGGGTAAAAATGATCAAATCAGAAGGAGAAAAAAGAACTCCATAGAATTAGAAGAGTAATGTTTAGTCCGTTAGTTACATAGAAAACATTTCCTAACTCTCTCATCCAATGTGAGACCTGTATAAGAGCTAAGTGTGGAGTATGTTAGCAGATTTCACCTTCCTGGGAAGAAGAAAAACAGAAAAACATCATAAATTGCTCACATCTCTCTCTATCTCAAGTTCTCCCCCTTAACTGGGTTCAGAAATGGGGATTCAGTTAGACAATGAAAGAGGGCCGTCTTGCTTCTACCTAAGATTTTGCTGCCATTTGTTATTCATCTGTACATCCATATTTCAACTTTTTTGAAGCTTCACTTCCCCTCAAAATCAGGTATGTGCTACTATTATCATCATTTTAAGTGATGAGAAATCTGCTGCTGGTAGAGCCTTAGCAAGTTGCGCCAAATCACATTGTTGATGTGTGAAGAGTTGGCCAACTGTCAGTTACTGGTTTAAACAGTAGTGCTTTACTGCCACCTTGTGGGCAAACAGGATTTGTTACAAATCCTACAAGAGTTCATTATGGTTGAGATTGGGCTTTAGAGAGTGCCTGCAGCGGATGAAATAAAGTGTCTCCTAAGTTATACTAAGATGTTTCTTGGTTTTATAACTCACAAATAATAGTGATCTTTTAAACAGGTCATATCCAAATGATAATATAGTGGAGACAGGATTATTGTTGGGAGAATAAAATGGAGGCTGAGGTAACAGTTAAGAAGAATATCAAAATAACCTATTAAAACATGATGAAGACTTGGATTAAATACATGTTCACAGGTTTAATTTATACTTAAGATGAAATAAATAATATATAGAAAATGTATGTTGAAATTGAGTTTGAGTGAGAAAGGACTCAGAGAGAGAAGTGACACTGATTTTCATTAAATAAAAGCATGTGGAGGAGCACAATTAGAAAGAAAAACATAGGACTTATATTGGATAGATTGATTTTAAATATTCTATGAGTCATTGAAATTAAGGTGGCTAGTATCAGATACTACAAGATAGGGTACAGTCTCACGATGTAGACATGCGAGTTACAAGTATATAGGCAATAGAGTAATTATAGATGTGAGTGGGATTGTCAAGCAGAAGAAGTAGGATGGGGAAAGAGAAGATAGCAATGACAAAAACCTAGAACTGATCAATGATTACAGGATAAAAAAAAATAAGGGGAACCAGACAGAGGGGTTTCAAAATTCAAAACATCTGCCAGAGAAGGGGAGAGAGAATGAAAGACTAAGAGAGAGAGAGAGAGAACTCAGGCAGTGGTTATCAGAACTAGGACGGTTAAGCGGGAAGCTCTTTTTATACTGGCAGTGGTAAGATATGTGCGGAAGTGATCAGCTTCTAAGGATTGCATTGAAAGGAAGTCCTCCATTTAGATAAATATGTTTACCTCCTTTCATTCTTAGGAAATGTCTACTATCAAATGACAGAAAAAAATTATTGTGGAAGTCCTTTATACTGTTGTGTATAGCAAATTGAAGTAAAAGCATCATTATCCACTGAAAAGATTTGTATTACTGCAGGGCACAAGTCATCCTTTGGAATCCTTAGAAAATGTAGATTAATGACATTGCTCTCTAGTCTAGACTTTAGAAAGTATCAGAGGAAAATATAAGGATGATGACATGATAAAGATAATCTGACTTCTACTTTCAGATAAAATGGAGTAAGAGAAACCAGATATACCCTTCTACCTGAAATAATAACAAAAAGTCAGACAGAACATATGAAACAATGACACTAGATATCAGGCAATGAAAGGTACTGATTCTTGAGACATGAGAAATAAATAGATGAGCTCTATGATTGACCTTGGCTTCTGCATTGTGAGAGATTCTAGGAAAGAGGAACCCAGATGGAGCAAGTGAATTCCCTGAATTAAGGAGACAAATCAAAGTGGCTACAATTTTAGGACAACAGCATGGGAGAGCTGGACGGAAAGTTCACGAGATTACTAATGGGCACATGTGTGTGAGGAAACTGCTCAAAGCCAAGAAAGAGCCACCAGAGAGGATTAGAGATGACAGAGCCCAGATCTCATACAGGGCTGGTAATAGTGTCTACTCCTATTAGCCAGACTAGAAAACCTCATAATTCACAGAGAATTGAGTAGAGTACTCAGTAATGAGGAATCATTAGCCTACTTTGCGAATACTGCACTGGTCCCACCTAACAACTCTTAAAAGCAATACTCCAGAAGATCAGACTGTTTCTGAGTAATTGAGCTGTGTCTCAGAACAAAGTTCAAGAATAGTTCTAGAAATACAAAAATATTCAGAACCAAACAAGATAAATTTCATAACATCTGCTATCATAATGAGAAGAAAATCAACCAACCCAAACCAACCTAGAACCGATGCAGATGTTAGAATTATCAAAGTTATAAAAGTAGTTATTAGTTTAACTGTATTGCAGATGTTAAAAACAGTTAGAAACAAGGAAGATATAAACCAAACTTATGGCAATGAAAACTACAATGAGATGAAAAATCTACTGCGTGACATTAATGGCAGATTAATTATTGTAGAAGACAAATTTGTGAACATGAAGTCAAAGCAATAGTGTTGGAAAACTATTCTCCCTGAAGTTCTTGGTGTTCATGCATGGGCCAGGACTTGGAGCAATGGAAACTGACATGCTGTAAAGTTAGAGAATATTTAATTTTCCCCAGAGCTATTTGCCTTTCATATTCTAAAGAGGATAGACCAAAAATGTGATTGTTTCCTTTTTAGTGGAGCCATGTATCCACCGTGTAATCAGTATGGTAGTTAAGGTCAAAGAGCTAACAGAACATATAAACTCCCTGAGTACAGTCTTAGAGGATATTCAAAAGCAGAAAGGATGCTCTTTCCCAAGCCAGCAGGAAGTAAGCTGCTGAGAAAAAGAGAGCATATTAGTACATATTAGTCTTCTCTCCATATGAGGAATATATATTAGGATCTAATATATATTCCTCATATGGAGAGAAGACTTTTATATATATATATATATATATACACACACACAGAGAGAGAGAGAGAAGAAGAAGAAGAAGAAGAAGAAGAAGAAGAATTATAAGCCAAAGAATATGTTCCATATATTTCAGATGTTACAATGTGTCAAGAGAATTGAAGAAAAAAGACCAGTGACCAACGGGATACTCATAGATACCATTGTTATAAGCATCCTTCTATGGAGAAAAGTGGAGCCATTGAAAATGTTGGGCCCTGTTCATCTAAGCCGGACAGGCATAAATGCCTCTGCCTCAAGGCTGAGTCTAAAAGTGAGGTTGGTTTTTTTGTTTGTTTGTTTGTTTGTTAGTGAAGTTTGTTTAATGAATTTGCAGAAGCTGGACAACAGGAATGGCTGGAAAGAGCACAGTGCTCCATAGTTCCTATTAATTGGTTTTTAAAAATGCCAAAGGAATATAGAAAAAATTTCTGTCGTGTTCCTTGGAAGACACCTGGAGCGTCTACATAGATTACCCCACTGTTCACAGTATCAGAGAACTGATTAAGCCCAATGTTTGTCTTTTCCCCTTGGCTCAAATTTTCAATTTGTTCTGCTTCTGAGACTTGGACACAGATATGAAACTCAAGCTAAATCAGACTTTCAGAAAAGTTTATTTCTTAGGGAGAAGATGGAAGGGAGTGAATCAGTGACGGAAGAGGTCTAAAGAAGAAACCTTTAGCTCTCTGATACAAGCTCAGTGGGGTAGCTCTGTCACTAACAACACATGAAAGGAGGGGCGATTTGCAAGAGGAGGATTGTCATGATGGAGAGAAAGAGAAGATAGCTTCTTTCACATCCAAGTCCAGTTGGCTAGCATTTTCCATCATGTTTAAATCTAATTTTTCCCCGAGATTTCCTAAAGGAAGAATCAGAATAAATATTTGGTTAACAGAATGTCAGAGCTACAAAAACACTTTAAAAATTAGCTACTTCTGCCACCCTTATTTTATATTTGAGGAAACTAAGAGCCAGAGCATAAAGGGAATTGACGAAAGACAACAGTAAGGTTATTGGATTTCCTACACAGTTATTTTTCCATGAGTCTAAGATGCCACTGAAGATATTATGACCTATGCTATAATCTCTTTGAAAATAAGCTATTTAATCAGGCCTGAGCCTGTGATATATAAGGCATATCAATCCTCATCTTCTTCCATCAATATTGTCACACTTTGGCTGAATTACTCATTAGTAGGGATGACTTAGGGTTTATGCATTCCTGTCATTGTTCCTTGTACAAAATTACAAAATGATTGTTGGGCTGAGGGCTCCAGTTTGATGCCATGGGAAGAGTTGTTCTCCCTGGAAACTGCATTGGCTTGTCCAGAGATCAAACCTGAAGCCATGGTTTTGTGAGACCCCAGTGTCTAATCACCAATAATCAGGTCACGTAAATCCAAAAAACTAAACACTGACTCTTAGCTGAAGGACCCAAACTTTGCAGTCACCTCATCCTAACTCAGAGTTTCAGGCACATAAGAGATTGAAGATATCTGAGAGAAGGCAAAATCACAGTTTGTCTTAAAATCAAAGAATTTCAGGACTCAAAAGGATATTTGAAGCTTCAAGTGAAAATCCGTCAATTGGCGTAAGGAAATACGAAGAATCAAAGAGAAGAAAGGACCTGATGATCACCACTGAGTACAATGAGTCAGCTTTCTACTCCAGTGGCCTTTATATTACCACATGCTCTTCTGAGTGGGGACTGATTATTATCTGTGCAAACTGGAGCAAATTCCTGGCTTCGAGGCTGATGTACTTGATAGAAGAGGTAGATCGTAATTGCTGTGGGCTAAGTTGTCGTTGTTCTCTTCTTCTCCCCAAATTGTACTCACATGCTTTCAACACACAAGATGCAGGGGTTCTCATAGGTTATTAAATTGGTGCCACAGATAGGTTGATATAAACCAGGGCAGGGGTTCACTGTTCCACTGAACCAGCTCAAGTCTACTTTCCTAAATGGACATTTCACCTGAATTGGGTTGAAAAGAATTATATGATTAAAATTACAATTATAGACAGATAGATCACCTTTGGACTTTATTAGGAAAATCTAAACATAGTCAGGATCATATCCCAGTCTCATAAAAGCTCTCACAGCTCCCCCCTCCACAAAGCAAGGGAACCAGAACCTATGTATATCCCATCTAATACCAACATGGTACTCTCATTGTCAGGACCTCCTGATGGTAATAGAAAACAGAAGCCTGCTATGCAATAGTGGGAAAAGTAAGAGTGGGTAATCAGAATGTATTTGGGAAATTTAGCTTCTCTCTAACTCTCCTTTATTCCCAGACTAACAGACTTGGGAATATTCTTAGAGATTTTTCTAAGCTAAACTCAGCTAAGGAAATGGAAGCCCCATAATTGAAAAAGGAATCCATATGCCTTGATTTAAACTATTTATCACATTTTATCCACTCTCAAAATCCCAAATCAACTCCTATCTTGAAGTTGTGAAATGTGAGATCATTTAGACTAATTTCCCAATTTTGTAGGGAAAACTGAAAACAAAGGAAGGGATGTATCTTATCAGAGACTAGAAGCCACATCTGCTTGCAATGCTGGTGTTAGTGAGGCTTGAAGTGACTCTGGGATGATAGAGCTTGAGGACGGTGGTCTCAGAGGCTGCACGAGTGCCATAGGTAGATAGATAAAATAACTCCAACACAAAGTGAGGAGGAGTATTGGCTGAGTATTTAGAGAAAGAAGGATCATGCTTAAGCTTTGAAAATCTTCTTCCTTCTCTCCTTATCCAACACCACCACTGCAGCCAGGCTGCCATCGTCTGCCTCCTGTATGTCTGTCACCCGACTAATCTCTCCACTTCCTTTATTCCTCATGTACTCTGGTTTCCATAGTTTAAACATCAGTTGAATCATTTTATTCCTGCAATTAAGGTTTTTTAATTGCATTTCATTGCACATAAAGAAAATCCTGCTTAGTATGGGCTGAAAGGTCTTATGTAGGCTAGACCCTCCCAACTCTCCCAGCCTTGCTATATCCCACCTTGCTCTTTGCCTTTCTAGCTTAGGCTTTTTTCCCCCAAATATGCCATGCTCCCTCCATCTCAGGGTCTTCTGTTTTTTGTAATGACCTCATCAAATATATATTTATTTTTTTCTGAATCTAAACTCATTCTACCTTCAGAATTCAGGTTACACAACTTTCTCAGAGATATTTTTCAAAATCCAATCCCAACTCTCCATTCTATAGTTTTATACCTCTAATTAGTGTGTAATAAAGCATTCGTGTAATTGTTTGACTAATTCCACACCGCCAAGGGATTATAGGCCCATAAGGGTAAGGTCTGTGTTTGATTAGACCAATCACTGTGTGTCCAGCACATATATCGGCACAGTCATTGCTCTATAAATATTTGCAAAATGAATAAGATATAAAATAGTTCAGTTAGAATGAATATAGAGTAACCAAATAAAAGCAAGAATAGTTAGTATCATTGTCTACAAATACAGCTTCTCTTTTTTCTCTTTTGAGCAGGATATGTGTTTGTCAGGTGAGGGTCCCCACCTACTGCTGTAACTGTAGCATCTGCTGCACACTCCTCCCCCCTTTGTGTTCCAGTCACACAGGCCTCTGATCAGGGACTCAAGTGGACCAAGTCTTCCTCACTGCTCTCTGCCTGGGTGGCTCCTTTTTACCCTTCAGGCCAGAAAGGCCTTCACTGATCACATTGTTTACAGTAGTATCTCTACTCCCAACAGATATCGGACAATCCTACTCTTTCATCTGTAGAATTTACCATAAATACTAGCTGCTGCCTTCCTCTTTTCTGGTTATTTGTAAGCTTTATGAGAGAAAGGAATATATCTATTTTCCTCAATATTGTTTCCTAGGGCACAGCACAGGCAATAAATATTTCTTAAAGAAAGTAAGTAATAAGTCTATTGTTATTTACGGATAGATGGGCAAGGGAAGGGCTATGCCTGTAGGGGACCTTCTTAAGAAGAAAATACATTCCAGTACTGAATTCCATGCAATCATAGATCTTGGACAAATTCTACACATTCTTTTCCTGGACCTATAGCTCCTGACAAGTTCCCTTCAAGGCCACGCTGCCCTCAAACTATCATTCTCACCAATCAACTCATGATCGACTTTTTCTTTTAAGAAGTAAAATTTAAAAATCATTAATGAGACAAAAACTTAAAGTGCGAACACTCCCAAAGTGAAGAAGCACAGTGATGCAAACCTACATTAAAAAAAATAATAGGGGACCGGCCTGGTGGCGTAGTGGTTAAGGTCGTGAGCTCTACTTCGGAGGCCCGGGGTTCACCAGTTTGGATCCTGGGCGTGGACCTGGCACCATGTATCAAGTCATGCTGTGCAGCATCCCACATATAAAATAGAGGAAGATGGGCACAGATGTTATCTCAGGGCCAATGTTCCTCAGCAAAAAGAGGAAGATTGGTGGCAGATGTTAGCTAAGGTTGATCTTCCTCAAAAAAAAAAAAAAAGACAAAATAATAATCTCTCATTTACCTTATCCCTTATTTATCACACATTTATTGACTTCACAATATGTTCAATACTCAGAGGGGTAGGTTAAAATGAAGACGGCATCTCCTTCATTTGACCCTTATACAAGTTGCAAACAGAATCTGAGGCTCTATGCAGAGATTTCCTGTGCCTCCACATTTTCCTCAATCCATGTCGCAGAGGTTGCTCTCCCTGTTCACAACTCATATAGGCATTCTCTGCACATCTCAGGGCATTTAGGCGCATTGCCTCCCCCAAACTCTGAGCTTCTGGAGAGAAAAAGCCATGTCCTGCCCACATCTGTGGGCTCTTAAGAACCTGCCCTGTCCCTGGCAATTGTCAGTACTCAGAAACATTTCCTGAGCAATATGGAGGTTTCTTTGGTCTACATATGACCAAATCTTAGCTTAGTGGGTCACTCTACTCTGGACTCCTATACGTGTGGTGTACATGCCCCATTCACTTGAGTGGACCTTGAAGAACATCACAGATGACCTTGCTGTAGTAAGGTTCTAAATAGCAATTCCAAATAAAACTCATATTAGAATCTTAGTCCCAGGAAATCTAGTGGGAGATTACCTTAACAGGTCCATGTGGTGGCCACCATTGCCGGGGACCTGCAGCTAAGACATAAATGGAGATAGTTATAGAATCTTCTATCTGGTAAATCATAGCTTAACTGTCAGCAGAATAAAAGAATTCGAGTTTATTCCCAAGGAAGCTTGCAAAAAGTGAAAACACTGTTTCATTTACACATGTATTCATTCATTTTTTTTTCCAAAAATGCAGAATGACTCTTCTATTACTGATAAATAATCAGCAGAGGACTATATAGATGTAGCACTGCTCATAAACGTTGCCAGTCCAGTGTAGTAAATAATTTTTTGACTAACAGTAATTAGCCTGGGCTTGAGAAGATTCATAAAAGCCAATATATCAAAGAAATTAAGAAATGGTAGACTTTTAAAGAGATCTTTTAGCCCAATCCCCATATTTTATAGAAAGGAGAAAGATACTTGCTTAGGAAATACCCAGGAATTCATGGTAGATATGTGAAAAACCAAGTTTTCCAGTCCTTGTGGCTAGATCTTTTTATAACTCCCTACATGACTATTTTCTAAAAGAGGACATGAATGATAATGACCCACTCAAATCCATGGAAAACCATTTTCAAAACGTGTGAATTTTTGAGATGTTCTACGGTGCATATTGCTAGTCCCTTTCACATGTTACCTCACTGAACCACCAAAGCCCCCTGGTTCCCATGAGGTAGGTCTCATAATCTGCATTAATAGACAAGAAAAAAAGGTCCCTGCTCATTGGCCCAGAACTTTTTATTTTGGACCACACCCCATTCTCTCTCTCTATAGACACAGATATATAGATACAGTAAAATGATATATTTAAATAGATAAGAGTTTCAAAGCATTCTCTTTCAGACTACAATTCAGAGCCCACAAATTAACCTTACATGCCTGCCAGAACGAGCCAAATTACTCACCAGAAGTTAACACCAAACGTATCATGATGAAGAATGAAAGTGAGCTGAGTACTGGGAAAGATTTGGCCATTTTTCCTCCTGGTGTTTCCTTAGAGTGATGCTCTGAGATATTGCCTTAGGATGTTGATCTCTAGTACAATCACCAGAGCAGAAATAATCAGGATATTAAGGCCATCTTTGAAGTGAATATTCATCTTCACTCTGCCCATTGTAACTTCTGTCTACCACCTATTCATCCTCCCCCAAGAACAAATGTTCAGGAAAAGCTAAAGTGTGGTTAGCCATAAATAAAAGTATAGACCTCAAGGACAGATCTGTGTCTACTTCGAAGACAGAAGTAAACCAGAGGTTACTCTATGGACATAACTATATTATTTTAGTAAGAAGGCATTTTAAGTGTCTTGAAAAAGCAACTCCTTACCTGAAGATTCACCCAGATATTTTTCCTTTGAAAGGATACAAAGGAAATACTGAGGCTCCTAAACAACAAGAGCTTCTCAACAGAGGAAGCAGAGATGACCTTTTTGGATTAAGACAAAGATTTCTAATATTCCAGGCATACTTGGCTGGGCTGAGAATCTTCTGACTTGGAATGCTAGACTTTCTTGGAGCATTCTGAGAGTGTGCATAGGGAGAAAAACCATTTTGTGCCATCTCATGGGGGCCCCAAAGCTATTTTCATCCAGACACAGAAAGAGAGGTCAGTGAGCAAATGCTCCCATGGGATTGCCTTCCCTTGTAGCAGCCTTTCTGACCCTAGAGAAAGGTATACGCACATTCCAGGGTCTAACCAAGGATTACATTGAACTCTCCCTATCTTCCTAATCCTGGAAGTGACCTGGTCCTCTCTATGTCCTCTAGGCATTTATCTCTGCTCTGTAGCATGTGTCAATAGGTAATTTGCATAAAGTCTTTGCCCATATACTGTGGTGTGACATGCATTATCCAAGACATGGAAATGTCTCCAGAGTACTCCCCTCCTCAGGATGGTTAGAGGTTCTCAGCACAATGTCCAGAGCTTCCTACTCTGCCTGCTCCTGAGACAACCTAGGATATCATGTTTTGGCTAAGCACACCCTCATCTCTTCCTGACATCTTCCCTGGAATCCTTCAAGAATGGAGCTTCAACAGTGGAAGATCCAGCTGTACTAAAGCACAATGCCACGTGCCCACCTTCCCCACCTCCTATGCTCCAGTTGACTCACCTCAGAAACAAGAGAAAAAGGAGCTGTAACACGCTCTTTTGGGTCTCTCCTTTAAGGAGCATGTGTGAGGGCCTCAGCAGGGTGTAGAATAGCCGTGTAGGAGAGAGAAGGCAATGACGCATTGTGTGGTGGGCTGAGCAGGCCCTGGGAGGTCCAACATTCAGGTTGAGTCAAAGTCAATCCTCAGCAGGAGGCAGTGAAGAAGGCAGCACAGAGCTGCCTAGAACACTTGGGAGGTGGGAACGGATCGCTGGACAGGACAGATCTTGGCAGGCAATCCAAAGAGACAACGGTATGAGGAAACATAGCACAGTAGGAAAGAGCACAGCAGAAAAAGCAGAGCATGTTCCCTAACAATGAGTGCCTTCTGCCAGTACGCACAATGTGGAAACAGGTGAGAGACAGAAGGAGGTTGCAGTGACAGATGAGGTCCGTGGATGACATTTGCAAGTGGGTCCAGCCTCGTCTCTGTAGCATTCCAGGCCTTTGCAGCTTTGTAACAAGAGAGATACGTCATCATAGCTGAGTTTCTTTCTGTTATCTGAACCTCCTGCCTCTTCCTTTCTGTAAAGTACAATTGTTCTTGTGTCACGGAAATACATGTTAACTTGAAAAATTCAAAAAAGACATATAAAAAAAGAAATAAAAAGACATGAAATCTCAAAACCCAGGGATAACTGTTAAACATATATTGAATTATATCTTTCCAGTTTTTTAAAAAATGTACACAGTTTTTTTTAAAAAAGGACACATATAGATGTTCTTATTTTCACAGTCAATCAAATTTTTGCAGTATATATTGTTTTCTGCTTTTTGTTACTTGGAAATGCACTATGACATTTTCTTGATCTTTAAATATAGTTATATAGAACATGAATTTATGTGCCTGGTGTCATATTCTGTCACAAATATGGATTTTTATTACATTAACATTTTTCTGTTGTTGCTCAATTAGGTTGATTCCAATTTTCATTATTATTAACAATGTTAGAATGAATAAATTTTTACTTACTTCAGTTAATTTATCTCTTATTATTTCATTTTAATAAATGCCTAAAGACAAAGCTAGTGGAAACTTCCAGAAAGGACCTGGGTCACCTAGAAAATGAAAGAGGTGGTTTTCATCCGATTTGTGGGTTCTGTGCTTATAATCTAACTTGGAACATTTTAAAAATACCCTGTCACCTTGCTAATTGAATCTTTTTTCCCCCGTTCAGAGAAGTAGAGGCACTCTACTCATTATTTAGAAGGAATTCTGGACATAAAAACAGAAGATCTAGTTATAGTATTTTGTCAACTTGGAAAGTAATTTCTTCTCTCGGGAAAGAATTTTTCCATTTGCATGATTAAGTAATCAAATTTTCCTTAAGTGGCTCCTTGAGAGTTTAATTGAGCTAACATTTAAACAGCTTGAAAAACTGCCTGGTCCAGATTAGCCATCAATAGATGCTACTTATTGTGGCTCACTCTTTGCCGCAGCTACTGATGTGTGCCTTGTAGGCCCAGGGCCACAGATTCATTGCATTGCATGAATATTCAAAGATAACAACGAGTGTGAATTTACTTCCTACCTGAGAACAAATAATTTACACTTTTTTCAGCTTTGTTTTGTCATGCGTTTTGTTATTAGCAGAGCATCACTGGTTAAGTGAGTTCCCAACAGCCTTCGACTGTCTGGGATTCTGATTTGTCAGCAGTTGGGGCATGGGAAAGACAGCAGTGAAAAAGACTGGCATCTTCCTTACCTTAACAGAGTTTATACCACAGCAGGGGAAAATCATTAAACAAATAATTACTCATGGAAGCCAGATTTGAGAAAATAATTTCTAATATTTGAGGTTTCTGAATCCTGTGACATTCAGGCATTATTCACGGCCCCTGTGTTTCTCATCAATATCAGCATTGAGAAATCACAGAATAAATTCCACAAATGCAATATACCAACTAGATAAAAGTAAAGCAAAATATCTTAAAGATAAAAGGAATTGCATATTATCACCATGTGGCTCTATTTAATAGATCCAAAAATAAGGTAAGAGAAAGTGGTCTCTAAACATGATTTAATTCTAAAGCATACAGAGGAAAAAGTGAAACATCTTAGGAAAGAAACAAGGCTAAAATATCTTTAGCTTTTCCAAACTCTCCCAAATTCCAGTTGAACTAATATTGGGAGAGGAGAGTCAATAGGGACCACATCTCCCTCAGAGAATCCTGAGTCTGTGACTTCCTCTTCATCTATCACACCCGTGGCTTACTTCCAAAAGCTACATCTTGGGGCTTTGTTCCTGGATACCAGGCTCCTATTCCTAGCTATGAAATAATTTGATTTGTATGTTCCAGTGTCACCTCAAACCAACATTTTCAAAAACCAACTCCTCACTCTCTAGTCCAAATCAGATTCTTATCACCTTTGAAGGATGCCAAAATCTTTCACAGGATTTCATTTACAGCTTCCTTGTTCTCCTGCAGAAACTCCACTTCTCAAATTGTGGAACTTCCATAGTCTAGCCCTCTGTTAGCCAATTATATTTCCACCACAGTACTGAGCTGCCTTCCCTTAGGTCCCAGCAGCTGTTTCTCCCTCACGGAGCAGCGACCGCATAAATGATCAGGCCCAACCCAGGCTATAGGGTAAGGTCTTTCCTTTCTCAGGGTTTTTATGGAAGCCACAGGACAGTATTAGCCAAACTTGACAGCATTAGCCAAACTTTTGTATTCTCTTGCTCCAGTCTTGAGCATTGATTTGGGTAACAGAATTCCTGACCTGTTCTTTGGACTGACCAAAGATGGCCTTAATGGGCCCCTCAGCTTGACTAAACTTTTTATTTTTTTAAGATTTACACCTGAGCTAACATCTGTTGCCAATCTTTTTTTTTTTTTTTCTTCTTCTTCTTCTCTCCAAAGTCCCCCAGAACATATTTGTACATTCTAGTAGTGGATCCTTCTGGCTGTGCTATGTGGGACACTGCCTCAGCATGGCCTGATGAGCAGTGCTATGTCTGCATCCAGGATCCAAACCAGCAAAACCCTGGTGGCTGAAGCAGAGCCATTCAGACATGGGCGGGGCCCTTGACTAAACTTTAGATAGGCTTCTTTCTGACTCTAGGCTCCTGATCCCTCTTATCTTAGAGCATTTATTTTAGAAAACTTGTAATTGTAAATTCTTTCTCTGTTCCTTTGAGATGTAAATCATTTTAGAAGCCTCTTGCCAGTTTTATAACCTAGAAAGGTCTTTCTCAAGAACTTGGGAGCCATCCCTTTGAAGTGTAACCATCAAGGAAGACAATGCAGGCTGTCTCCTAGTCTCTGTGGAAGGGCAGGAGCCTAACTTCCGCGGGTACCTTACTCCAAGTTGCAAAACTACCTCTTATCAAAAAGAGGTTAGAAGTTTGTTTTCCTTTAGATAAAGCCAATTAGTAAACACAGATGTCCTATTACTTTCCCTTGACCTCCTCTGGTACTTTTCCACTAACTCACCTCAGAGCTTAAAAACCCTCTTTCTCCTTTTTTTTTAGCAGGGTTGAGTTCAGACGGAGTTCTGGCCTCTCTCACCTATTGCAGCAGCCTTGAGTAAAGGCTTCTTTGCCTATTTAACTTTGACCAGTGTAATTTTTGTCTTCATAGGACCATCTCGTATGCCAAATAAGATGTACTTTCCTATCTCTTCTCTCCGGACAGAATCACTGCTTTGTTGCTATTTTCTACACTGTTTCTTTTTAAGACCAATGCTGGGCCTTGTGCAATTTGACGTCAGCCTTCCCCCCTTTCTGAGTTGCAGTTCCTCTAGTATAAAATGGAGACACTCTTTTTCAACCTTACTTCTTTCCTAAGTTGTCCATTTATTTACCTTCTCTGTCATCTGAGCTCCTCCCTGAACTACCATGCACTGGCCTGCTGGTCCCTATTGGGTAACTCCTGGCTGCTCCTCCCTGTCCTCAAGGATTAACCAAGAGGTGGAATTGGGACAGGCCGTTCTTCCTTTTTAAGCCCTAACATTTCATTCTCCCAGAACCCCCACCCTCAGCTGTACAGATGTACGTGAATTGTTTTTACTAAAAGTGTGGAGAAAGGGAAATCTTTAAGAGAAGAGGAAAAGCTAAAAAGCTACAACATAGAGATGGGTTTCCTCAGGGATGAGAAGGAAAATAACTAAGTCCTTAAGGCGAGGCCGTGATGGTGAGCTCGCCTAGTGTCTGATCTCATTCTTCTTCCCTTAAATGTATGTCCCTTTCCAAAGATTGACTTGCTTCTCTCCATTTCACTTTGGGACAACAAATCCTGCTCACAGTATCTGATAGAGTGTCTGGGAGAGAGGTGTTGGCAATCTAAATCTTGATGAGGGCCTAGGTTATGTGTGGACCCTCTGGATCAACTCCCCTTTGCAATGTTGTGATCAGTGTGAGTTGAAGATATCCTTCTTGCTTTTCAAAGTTGCACCCGACACACAAGTATGAGCATGCACACACAGACACACACAATCCACACTTGCCAAGATTAGGCATTAACCCTTAAGATGGGACAGGACAGGACAGCACAAGTTTTTCAAATTGCATATGGTGAGCCTTTAGTGGGTTATGAAATAGGTTACCACCACTATTTTTTAAAAAAATACAATAAAAGAACAAAGTAAAATAGAGTAGAATAAAATAAAAATTACAGTGCAACTTGAATAGTGTGTGTGTGTGTGTGTGTGTTTCTAGGTGGTAAGGTAAAATACATTCTTTTTTTTTCCTGTGGGTCACAGTCAAGAAAGTTTTAAAGCCCTTAGAATAAACCTGCAAGTAAGGAAACAAAACTTTGCTATCTGCAATCTGTGTACCTCTTGCAAGGAGAAAACAAGTTTATTTCCTTTCAAGTTTTCAGAAGGAGCTCTTTCAAGTCTGCTAGAATAAGAAAGGAATCAATACCCCTACATGGACTATTCTATCAGTTTTATATTTAGTATATTTGAAAAAAGCCACTTTAATGAGGACTTAAATTCTTAGATAAGAATCCTTGATCTCCCAAGGCTCCCCACTGAAGAACGGAAAGAGATGTTCTATTGTTCTCTCATCTTTTGTTTCTTTCTTTTCCTGCTGTGACTGTAATACTACCATAAATGTAGTTCTGCATTTCCTCATCTAGCATTCC